ACCATTCACTTGCGTGGTATATACTAATGGCTAATAGTATTGCATAGCTGCGCCAATCAGATTGCAGTATTTGCATAATTATCTAAGTAGAATTCTACTAATGATATATTTACAGAGGTTTAATGCAGCATACTTTATTTACTGAACGAAAATGTATCCAAAAGCTCTTATGCTGGAGGTCCTTTGCATCTCGTTTCCACATGAGTTCAGGGGGTCCATATCGAAAAAACTTCCCGTAGTACCAAAGCCGATTCTAGATCGCGCTGTCTCTACGCAATCATTTGGAGCGCCAATGATTCCAATACGAGCTCTTGCGCCGTTGCCGTATTTTTGTTTATTGTTGAAACCTTGAAAAGTGCATCCTACCTAAAGGGAAAAATTCATGATTCTAGCCGTTAGTAAGCGCAGAACATTATATCTGTTCTTTGAATACTTCCTCAAACAAATGAATCTTTTTATTAAAAACAAAAGCTGAACAATCTCTTTGAAGTATGGAATACAAGTTTACCACAGACGTTTTCAGGCATGGCCCTTCTTTGGTGTGTTGGAGAATATGACGCTTTCAAGAGTTTGTTCAGCCTTTAATATTATTTCCGTCATAAGTTTCACGTATCACATGAATCGATTTTGTTTGTTTGTTTGTTTCCTTATTTCTACTGCAATTTTCAATAGGTGAGTTTTGCCCTCGACTTAGCGCTGCCCTCAAATATGAAAGCGCTGCATATCACAGCTAAATTATTAACAACCGCCCATGAATAAGTGCGGCATTACCCATAGACAATAACGCGGTGCCCATTCGAAACTTTTTTCAAGCTCTAATGCAGGGCCTATTCCAAGAGGTTTTCGTCCGTCCTATGAAATTGCCTTACTCCGATATTGAAATAAGATTCAAGTTAAGATTTTAAACTGAACTTATTTTTTCCGTGCTGTTGCAACCGTTAATTGGATAAAAAGAGTTGTTAGTTCTGGTCAAAACGGTTTTTCCTGTTTTTTCACAAGGTTTTGATAAGCATCGCCTTTTAATAAGTTCGCCCATAGAAAAAGCCCACAATAAAAAAAAGAAAAAAACCAAAAGCGTCCAAGAATGTCAGCTTTTTTTTCACCTGGATATCTGAGTTATTCAGCAGCTTCTTCCATTCCGTCACATTCAAATGTGTCTCCTTAAATGTACCGTTCCCAATGACGTCCCTCAATGAAGACCCAGCATAGTTCAGTGTAATCCAGTTCGTTTCGTCCTGATATTTCATGCCCAGGCACAGTTGAGTAAACGGTGTAGACCAAAAGCTGCTGAGCTTGGTTTCCGTGTCATGCAGGCCTGTTCCGCCACCTTCATTGTAAGCAACAGTGTTATTCCAATATTTCGAATCGTACGTGAACGTTTGCTTCAACGAAGAAAAGAACAGCGAAGTAAGTTCAACTGACAGCTGACAAACATAACCTTGGATTGTTTGTTTGTTTATTTGTTGTAATACCGTTTGGTGCCATTTTTATCCAATCAAGAGTATATAGCAAAACAACTCAGCAAAGCTTGTCTTGGTCCTCAATTAAACACCTGATTTCTGGTTTGAAACTTGCGAAACTCAGAAAACTATTTTGTTTGTTTGTTTGTTTGTTTGTTTGTTTGGTTTAGGCTACTTTCAGCTGTTCATGAAACAGCTGAGAAAAAGTAGAAATATCGTTATTCTAAAATTGTGGAGATGGAAATGGCTGGGCCATGTTCTGAGAATGTCTTTAGACCAAAATCCCAAGATAGCATCAACATGGGCACCCGAAGGCAAACGCCGAAGAGGACGGCCAAGAGAGACGTGGCGAAGAACGATCGGCAAGGAGAGAGAGAACATTTCGGATTCAAGACATGGAGGGAGGCAGAGGTGGCGGCAAAAGACCGAGTTGCTTTGGGGAGACGGATTGATGGCCCCATTCTCCACGAGGAGAGAAGGAAAAAATGACGTTGAAAAGTCCAGTGCAGAATGAGGAAACCTACATATTGTACTCTGATTGCAAACTTAAAAGTCGAAATTACACTTAGTATTAAAATACCTTGTTTCCATCGATCTTCATGACCAGTGTCCATCCGCCATCTCCACAACCGGGAATTGGAGTCATGTGACAAAACACATGTGCGTACTGGGAGGGTGGCTCAGCCCGAATGTAAAAGGATCCATCGACACGGATTCTTGAGTTTTAACGAGAAAAATAAAATTACTAATTCAATTACATGATGCTGCTGCCTCGCTTTGCAGTTGGAAAACCTATATATGATTTCGCGCGAGCTCTTTTACAAAATCAAGATACGCAGCCTTAATCAGTCAGATGGGAAAATTCGTCTGTCAAACATTTATCCTGGGTGTTTTCAGTGGTGTATTCAAATGTGTGGGGATGTGGTAATAATGTGTCTGGCCAAGAAGACGATCTCCTTTGTTATATTTCGATAAAGAAAGGGACGAAAATGTGAGGTAAATTTTACAGGCCACTGGAGATGTTACTCAAGCAGATTTTAAACGCAGCATTGTTGCGTTAATTAAAATCGAAATCGTGTAACATGGCGTACAGGTCGACTTTTAGTGCAACATTTCGTTGCGACAAAATGTGGCAGGTTTTTGAAGGTGTCGAAAAGCGATTCAAAAGCCTGAAACACTGTTGCCCTAATCTACAACGTTACGTTAAAAAATTGTCGCGTGTAACATCACCTCTTACGTGGAGTTCAACTGAGAAAATGTCGTTGCAAGTTGTCCCGTGCTACACCGCCTTAAGGTTCATGTTAGCCATGAAGTCACGCTCAGAATTTTCGACGGGAACTTTGTTTCTCATGAATTCAGTTCTCTATAATTCACGTCACTGTCAATATGCTTACTTACAAAATGACTGAAATAAAACAGCATATTCTTCAAGGATACTGTTGCTAACGCATCACAACGAACAAGGTACAGCTGGTTCTTGATCACGTTTTCCCAACTGTTTTTCATGAACGTAAAAGCTCTCGTCTTCACGTTGAAAACATTGCATTAACCTCTCTAATTTCAATTTCTTGTTACAAACCTAGAATTCTCCCAGATCTCTTTGCAGGACATGGGAAGTCTGTCATAAGAACCTGGAGTGGAAAGTGGAAAGAAAAGGACAGTGAGGTTACACTTCGTGGATCAGTTACTTTCAAATTTGTCAAGTGACGTCGGCATTGTGGGCTGGATCAGAAGGTGACGTAAAATTCGTTGCTCTGGCATTATGTGTGTCAGTTTGACAAATAAAAATCTCAGGATTTGTCAGCCCAACACGCGGGTTTCCAAAGGGAAAAGTTGTATTATTTAATAATCTAATCGGTCCAGATCTACCTTGCCCAGGTCTGCAGGCACTCTCTGACGTGCAACTGCAGCCGCACTGGTTTGATGACTGGACTTCTCTTGGAAGAAAGAGCTTTGTTGCTGGCTAAAAAAAAGTGAAAAGTTGCATCAGTAGTCCAAGATATTCATTCTTTAGACTTCTGTTGGCATATAGTGCAACAACATTATCAAAACACCATATGTGTTTGAAAAAAATAACTTCAAGAACGGATCGGGCTTCGTAAATCAACGACAAAAACAAAATGTTGAGAAAACTTTTTTACCATCAAAACTTGCAATTGTGTGGCCATTGAAGTAAGAATATGTATAAAGTTATAGCACACAGGATTTCAAGTGTTCTTCCAATCATTGTCAATGAAGACCAAACCGGATATGTCAAAGGCCGGTACATCGGTCAAAATATAAGG